AATATAATATACAAGGTATATAATCAAATATAATATAGTATGTGATATAATATAATATAATATAATATGTAATATAATAAATTTCAATCGAAATAATATAAAAATGTGCCACTTACCTTAACTTTCCATTATATTAAAGATTATTTAGCATACCATTTTCCAATTTAATTTCTATTTTCCTTGAGTATATTTCTTCTCATATATAATTCATTTTAAAACACTTTAATTCACTGCAATAGAAATAGAAACCATAGAATTAGAATATTATATGTTATAGATTTAAGGGTAACTTACCTTTATTCCTATACCATAAGAGCTTCTTCTCGGGATCAGTTACCTTGTAAAAGGTGTTTGAGCCTCTTTAAAACACTTTTAATCACTTTTAATCACTTTAATTCACTGTAATAGGAAAGAAGAATATATGAATGGGATAATATATATACGAATTTATGTATTAAACTAACTTTAAACTCAGTTTTTTGATCAAAAAATAATATTATTACTTGTAATAAAATCTTAATAGCGTAGAAGGTTCTTATTTAAAAGTATAATATAATTCATATATAATATGAATAATATTAGATAGTTATTAAGTTAGTTTAATAACCAATTGGGAAAAAAAAAACATCTAAGGTCACTTACCTTTATTCCTATATCATAAGACCTTCTTATCGGGATCAGTTGCCTTGTAAAAGGCGTTTGAGCCACGTTTTTCACACTTTCACTTTTCACACTATCACTTTTCCTGCGTAAAGTTCGTTAATTAGTACATTTGTGCTTAGAACTTAATATATATACTTACAGACATACTTGTCAACCTGTGCTGTTAAGCCCCCTTTGCATTTTCGCAAAGGAAATAGCATAAGCTACCAATAAGGGGGTTTTCCTGCGTAAGAAACTCTAATTAGTATTTATATACTTTCAAATTAGGATATATACTTACAGACATATATGTCCAGCACCCCTCAGAAGCGTCATTTTGATAGCTAAATTTGCTAATAAAACTCAAAATAGGAATGGATATGGGTATAAAATATGAAAGCCCTGTTAAAGTCAATGTTAAGTAAGCGCAAATCTCATATACATATCATAAATACATGCATACATACATGCGATCACTACTAAACTATAACATTTCATTTAATTAAGCCGAAATATAGCGTTCAAATATAATATAATGCAATATAATATAATAAAGTGACATAAAAAGGGCACCTACCTTAACTTTCCATTACTTATTGGGATTTCTTGAAGTTTGAATGATGTTTCCTTGTTTTCCATTGATAAATTTGCACTTAGGGGTCGGATATAATCCCTGCGAATATATTAACAAATTAGTTAAATTATATTTGCATATTGAAATATGTACTTACGTAATAGACCACATGTCTACGCGGAGCCCCATTCATTCATATATGCACTCACACTAACACACACACACACTTTCACTTATGCAGCGGAGCACCTTTTGATTTTTTGCAAAGAAAATTGTTAAATTCTTAATTAAACCACTTTATATTACACAATATTGATACTAGAGTCCCTCAAACACATTTTATTTCTTATTTAAACACTTTTTAGCACTTGAAAAAAAAAAAAAAAATTGATCGCAATTTATGCTTGCACCGGCTAAGAATGATAGTCAAAAACTGAATGGGAGCGGGGGTGACGTGTGCATAACTCTCTCAAGATCTTCTCTCTTTCTCTTACTACTCTCATTAGCTTACTCTCTCCCATGTTAAAGCTGCCTAATCATTTTTTATCAGATTAAATCAATTTAAATCATTTTTAATAATCTCAAATCACTTTATATCTTTAAACATTTTAAATTAAATTAATTTGTATGACTTTTTTTAGTTTTTGCCTTTCAATTTTCTTTGCATTTCCTATGTACACATATGCATATGCAAATTTACATGCATTTTAACACATATATGTACATCTCAGGTGACGCGCACACACACACTTTCACTGGTATACCGGAGCACCTCGGCATTTACGCAAAAAAATGATTACAATTTATCTTTAAAACACTTTCTATTGAACAAAACTAAAAACGCGGTGCTGCGATCACTTTTTATTTAACGTTTTAACTGATTTTGGCACTTAAAAAAAAAAAAAAATTTGGCTGCACTTTGCGTGTGCAGCCGCTAAGAATGATAACCGAAAACTGAATGGGAGAGGGGGCGACGTGTAAGTCGACTTCGATAGAATCTTCTCTTCGCCCCACTCCTCTCATTAGATTACTCTCTCATTTATCGAACTTTTCAATGAATTTTATATCGTTCTCTACAATTTTCTAGAATTTAAATCAAAAGTCTCAAATCACCTTAAAAAAATAAATAGCTGAATTTAAATTAATCATGACTTATTTTTTTAATTTTTAACTTTAGATTTTTTTGCGTAAATTGATGTACACATATGCATATATCTATGCAAATTTACATGCATTTAAATACATATATGTACATGTAAGGTGACCGGCACACACACACACTTTCACTTGTGAATCGCAGCACCTTGGCGTTTTCGCATAGAAAATAGGTAAATCTTCTATGAAAACACTACATATTTGAACACACAGTGCTGCGATCAATTTAATTTCTTATTTTCACTGTTTATGGCACTTAAAAAAAAAAAAAAAAATTTGGCTGCACTTTGCGTGTGCAGCCGCTAAGAATGATAACCGAAAACTGAATGGGAGAGGGGGTGACGTGTAAGTCATCTACACCAAAGATCTCTCTCTTCGCCTCACACCTCTCATTAGCTTAACTCTCTCATTTTTATCGAACTTTTAAATTCAATTTATATCATTCTAAATCATTTAAAATCAAATTTAATAATCTCAAATCACTTTAAATCATTAAATAATTGAAATTAAATTAGCTATGACGTATTTTTTTTATTTTTAACTTTCGATTTTTAATCTGCGTAAATTTATGTACACATACATATGCATATGCCTATGCAAATTTACATGACTTCACATACATATGTGTACATGTAAGGTGACGCTACACATACACTTTCACTTGTCCAGCGGCGTATTAGCAAAGAAATAGTTATATTTCCCATTAAAACACTTTATATTTAAAAACGCAGTGCTGCGATCACTTTTTAGTTGTTACTTTAACAGTTTTGAGCACTTAAAAAAAGAAACAAAAGTTCACGCAATGTACATTTACAGCGGTTAAGAATGACAACCGAAAATTGAATGGGAGAGGGGGCGACGTGTAAGTCAATTACAAAGAAGATCCGCTCTTCGCCTCACTCCTCTCATTAGCTTACTCTCTCATGAATCAAACTTCGCAGTTAATTTTAAATCATTTCAAATCATTTTAAATAATTTCCATTCGTTTCAAATCATTTTAAATTAATTAAAAGGTAATAAAAAGTTAGTTTTGACATGTTTTCTTAAGTTTTGACTTTCAATTTTTGCGAACATTTACATATGTACTCATATATGTACATATACCTATGCAAGTTTACATAAATTCACATATGTACATATATGTACATGTAAGGTAAAGAAAGAATGAACAAATTTGGCGCAATTTATAGCGTCTATGAATGACAATTGAAAATTGTATGGGAGAGGGGACACGTAAGCCAACTAACTGCACCAAAGATCCTCTCTTCGCCTCACCCCTCTCATTAGCTTAACTCTCTCATATTTATCGAATTAATTAATTTTATATCATTTTAAATCATTTTAAATCAAATTTAATAATCTCAAATCACTTTAAATCAATAAATAGTTAAAATTAAATTAGTTATGACGTATTTTTTTAATTTATTTTTTTCGATTTTTTATCTGCGTAAATTTATGTACACATACATATACAACTTTACATGAATTCACATACATATATGTACATGTAAGGTGACGCCACCCACACTTTCACTTGTCCATCGGCGTTTTAGCAAAGAAAATAGTAAAATTTTCCATTAAATAACTATATATTTGAAAACGCAAGCCTGCGATCACTTTTTAGTTGTTGTTTTAACAGTTTTAACACTTAAAAAAATAACAAAAATTGGGGCAATTTGCAATTTGTTTTAGCAAAGAAAATAGTTACATTTTCCATTAAATCACTATATATTAGCAAACGCAGTGCTGCGATCCCTTTAAAGTGTTGTTTTAACTATTTTAGCACCTTAAAAAAAGAAGAAAAAAGCGCGCAATTTACGTTTATGAGTCGCTAAAAATGACAACCGAAAACAGAATGGGAGAGGGGGCGACGGTACGTCCACTACACCAAATCTTCCCTTCGCCCCCTTTACCCACACATTAGTTGAGTCTCTCCCACATAAGAGCTATTAAATCAATTTATACAACTTCAAATCACTTTTAATAATTTAAAATCCTTTTTTATTATTAAATACTGATTATTAAGTACATTACGGTGTTGTTTTTTTAGTTTTTAACTTTAAATTTTTACTGCGTATATTTATGCAAATTTACACACATACACTTTCACCTGGACCGCGGTGCAATTAAAAAAACAATTTAAATTGATTGCAATTCAAAACGTAGTGCTGTGATCACACAATTTTATTATTATACTACTATTAACGTTTTTTTAAGCAAATACAATATTTGCAGTTAATTTAAAAGCGCAGCTCAAAGAATGGCAGCTGTACGCTGCAACGGCAAAGGCAATCTGACGTCAGAGTGATCTTCGTTTGCTTCTCCCTCTTATTTGGTATAGGGTCAACCTCTATGTCAAAACACTTAAAATTTTTTAAATATAAAAAATTTGTTTCTGACTCTCTAAACGACTTAAAAAATTAAGAAACTATTTTACGTTAAGTATACCTTCAACTTGAAAAATAATATAAATTTGTAAGTTTAACAAAAAAATGGCACCCTGTCGTTTTGAGCCTGTCCTCTATGGCCGCGTCTGGCAAACTGCCGTTACTCCTTCAATTTTAAACGCTTGCAAATGTCAGTGCCATAGTCATTCATAGAAGAAATCTCAACTGGCAATGACGCGGCTGCACCCGTTAAGCCTTGTAGGCGTAATTTTTAGTAAACAAATTGTAAATTCGGTTAAGATACGTTAGATAAAGCACAGGAAAAGGATATTCGACGCTAAGTGAAAGGAGAGGGTAAGAAAGCAATTGAAATGGAAAATCAATGAATTTATACCCATGCATATGCATGTAGGCAAACACGTATAGGAAAAACAACGTTGGGCAATGATTTCTATTACATAACCAAAATTATGACGCTGCGCTTGATGAACAGGTAAGATCTACTAAATTATATTCGTAAAACATTGCCTTAAAAAGATTACCTTATCCGTAGACACTTGTTTTGGATTCGCACGGCTTGTGGAGCAGCTGGGTTGCCCAATGGATTGCTGGATGGACCCCCAACTTCGGCCATAGCCGCGTATCTATGACTGCTTTTAATAAGATAAGCCCCCGCGACTGCACTGCAACTAATGTAATTTGGTCGGACAGAGATGACGCCAACTTGGAGTGCAGCCGACAGCATTTCCAAATTCAATCAGCCGTGGAAAAATTCCTGCCCATGCCGCTCTAGAGTGCATGCCAGGCTGGTCCTCGGGGGAAGAGGGCAAAAATGTAATTAAGCAAGGAGCTCGATGGAGGCAGAGGAGTGCTCAAAGGAGGAGCACACAGCTCCACGGATGAAAGCTCATGGAGGTGGTCACAGGAAACGGTTATAGAGATGGCATGGATGAGGAAAGATGGCTATGCGACTCTAGCCGGAGAGAAATGGCAGAGATAATTAGGATTATGCTCATTACAGTGCTCTCGTCGACCGGAAAAGTAATTTGCAGCAGCAGAGATGGTCGAGATGCCCGAGAAGAGTTTCCAGATTGAACTAATCTGGGAATGGTTGACTAGTTCTCAACGCTGCTAGTTGGATCCACAGAAGAAGACAGGATAATAGTACATATACATACTCGTATATTATATCACAGATCTAGTACAGAGATGTGGTTGCCACCGCTGACCTTCACAGGCTGACCCGAATGGTGAGTGAACTGAGAATTATTAAAAAATATGTATTGAATGCTGCCCCATAGCCTTTTCCATAGCATTAACCCACAACTTTTATCATAAATTTGTGGGGCCACACAAGTGCTGCGCCCCGAGAGCCCAGTTTGCTGAGTGGGTAATGTAAATATATCGCCATCCCGGGCCCCCAGCCACCTGATCGTCCATACTTCGTCCTCCATTCTCCATCATCATCTTCCCCATGCCCTTCGAAGACAATGGCCCAAAAGGGGGAGGTCTGCTTTTAAAAAACTTTCGCATATTCCAACTGAATTCGCATGGAGTCTTTAAGCCATCCACAATTCGATTTCCCAGTGCACGGCAGGTTTTGTGGAAAAATGTTCCCGCTGGAGGGATAATTTCAATTTTTCACCGCTTTTCCAGTCCCCTGATTCACGGTTTCATGGTGGCAGCTTAAGCACTGTTTATGCCTGTTAAATGCGAATCAGATAAAGGTCAACCGGATATCAGGCCCACTTAGCTTCATCCGGCTGAGCTCCGAATCCTTACGCAAGGCATTCTCATGCCGAAGGGATTTTAGTTGACAGCTAACAGTCGGAGTAGAGTCCAGAGCACAGTCTCGAGCAGTGACAATTACCCTGGACTAACAGGGCCTGGCAATTGCTTGTCGGCCGTTGACAGGCGGAATCAAATGTGTCATCAAGTGTCTCTCTTCCCCGTGCTGGTTTACTGCTTTCATGGTTTTGCCATATGAATAGTTAATGAAGTGTATGCCAGACTCATACGAGGGTTGGCCCTGGACTGGTACTGTTGCTGGTCCTGGCCATGGCCTTGTCCTTGCCGGAACCACCGACACGGACAATGCCACAACAGGAGCGCATTAGCCCATGCAGCAGACGGGCAAGTTGTGCGGTAAAATCTTACACTGCAGTTTATGCAAAATTGCCGATAGCAATTTGCAAATTTAATGGCGTAAACAAATTCAATCAATGTATGCAAACAAATACAGGGACAGGGAAAGGGACAGAGGCAGAGGCGGAGACAGGGGGGCGTCAACGGTTCGAAGAGGATTACGATTACCATAGACCATAGTACTCCGGTTGCATCCGCATAGCTTCACAAGCTCTACAAACGAATGCGTTTTAGTTAAAACTGCAAAAGGCAACAATAATCAAAGCTTGGCATCGTCTGTGGGCGATAAGTAATACGAAGAGCACACTTTGGCATGTCTGTGCATGTCCGTGCACGTCTGTATGAATGTCTGGCTGTCTGCTATCTGAGGGCAGTCAGGTGCCATAATTGTTTGGTGCTCCCTGACGACCACCTCTCTCTGTTGGGGAGCTGGGCACCTGGGAAACTTATGCAGCTGCTACCAGCTCCTGCCCAGTTCCAGTACGAAATCCGATTCAGATTTGTCGCTAACTGCTCATCGAATAAATTTCGGTGTTTGGCCATTTCTTGGCCACAAACACACACACACACACGATACACACTTTGGTCTTTGAATTGTGTTTGTCGGGGCTTTTAATTGTTGAACAAAAATATATGCAGACAGCTTGAATTCGAATTCGAGTCAAGCTCCCATTATCACGCATGACGATGGTAGTAAGTCGTGGAAAGTGGGTCGCAGGGTAAAAAATGGAAACCAATTTTTTTCGTCGTGCCGCACAAATTTGTCTCTAGTAAGCGGGCGAAATGACAACTTAACTTAAAAACTTGGCCAAGGCAGCAGGAAGCGCCACAGCACAGTGGTGTAAAACCCAAAGTTTTGGCTATAAAATCGATAACAATAAGATTTTTTTATGCTATTATTGGTAGATAACATACTGTATATCTTAACAAAAACTTTGCTTAAAATGTAAAGCTACAAAACTGTGATGTGAAACCACTGTGCACCGCCGGCAAAAAGCTCAAGGAACTGCCTGCTGCGACCTACTCGACTACCAGATGCCGAGCACAGCGAACAATCCACCCAAAGACGGGTTTCTCCTTCGAATCGGGCAAGCCCATGGTGAGCTGAAAGGGGAGGGGAAAAAAAGAAGTGTCTTGTAAATTATTGCAAAAAGCAGGCTGCAAATTAATGATAACGACCCGGCCGACACCTTCACCCCGGTCGTCGAATGCCTGGCATGCCTCCTGCCATACATAGAGAGACTCATGGAAGGAGGCGTCCTGGCGAGGCAGCAACTTAAGTGACATGAAACAACCAACTACTTAGTGTGTAAGGGGGAGAAAAAAAAAGAAACTTGACAAACGCAGCAGTGCTCTGGCTCTGGTAACAGAATGTGTGTGTGGTTTCGGCCTGACTGGAGTTGACTTGACTTTAGTGAGGGATCCGTAAACGTGGCAACTGCAATTCGCGGCTAGCTGGCTGGTTGGCTTAGGAGCCGCAGGATAAATAAATGCTTCCTGTTGCTCCACACGCACACACACACACACTTCATATGGGACGGTTATTTATGAAGGAGACTTTTTCATCATCTTATCAGATGGCCGGCTGAAAGTGCTATCTTCCACTGACAGTGCGTCCACTCTGCTTGTGGTGCTTGGTTTCAGGCTGGAATATATGAAAACAAAAAAAGAAAACCTTACCAGGTTTTTCATTGGACTAACAGTCAGATTTTTATAGGAAATTATTCAAAATGTGTCCGTCCAAATTTGTTGTGTGTTTATTGTTGATTTCTGTGAGAGCCGAATTGGACACAGTATCAAAAATTACACAGATCCCGTCCATGCCGATGCCAAAGGATCCCAGTCCCTCGGACTTTCAATACCTAGTCACTGGTGGATATCGGCCAAAAAACAATGACCTGGTCAAATACGTAGTCTCGCTGCGACTGGGAAAGCCAAAAAAGTTCTTCGGGGATAATCACTTTTGCGCTGGCGCAATCTATAGCAAGCGGGCCATTGTAACCGCTGCCCACTGCATGTATTCGGAGTGAGCATAAAAAATATGTTTAATACTATATAGTATAGTATATATATATTTCATGTAATTAACCCTCTAAAGCCAGCGGAAGTTGCAGGCCAAAAAGATAAAGGTAATCGCTGGGACGCCAAAGAGATTGGTCAAGAGTGGCACCACACAGATCATTGACGCCAAGAAACTGTTGCCGCATCCCAAGTACAAGAAGGGCAAATCACAGAAATACGATGTGGGAATTGTGCTGATAAAGGAGGATCTTGAAATGGGTCCAGCCGTCGCCTCTATATCCCTGTACGACAGGGCTCCGGTGGCCAATATCAAGTGCACCATTGTCGGCTGGGGCACGGTCATACAGGTCAGCATAGATCGATCGTTTTCTTATTTACTCACATCTCCTGGTACATCCGCAGTACGGACCACTACCGGATTTGGTCGTTAACGGTGATGTGCAAATTCGGCCCGATAGTTTCTGTCGAAAGCTCCTCGGGTGGACCAAGAAGGGTATGCTATGTGCCAATGACCAAAGCGATACCGATGTGGACAGCTGCCAGGGCGACTCGGGTGGCCCGTTGATCTGTGACAACAAGGTGACAGGCGTCGTGTCCTTCGGCACGGGATGTGGTGAAGCCGACTCTGCCGGAATCTATACGGATATCTATCACTTTCGGGAATGGATCACCGATAACTCCTGCCCCCGCGGCACATATCCAATGCCAAAACTGTTCATCCTGATGCTGCTCTTCCTGGCCAATATTATGGATATAGTCTAGCGTCTAGCCTGATTCATTCAACAGGCGGTCGTTGAGTGGACTATTGCTACTCTACTTCTAACTACTACTAAGTTATCGTGCAGCATGCAGCGTGCCCCGGGAAAACCTCGGAGCCTGCAGACGACAAACCAAAATTGACTAAAACCAGCGGGCATGGCCTGTCATCCGTGGATGTGAAGGCAGGTAGCGATGTCGGTGGATATATACGAGTACAAATGCGAGGCCGAATGGCAAAATGTGGTGCATGCCGCGCCATTACCCGCGCACACACATGCCCACACACGTACTTGCCACCGTGTGGACATGGACTGGGTGGGGGACAACGGTTTATGGTTACGCTGATGCAGATCCACAGGCACTGTTTGTGACAGCAATTATCGCATCACGACCGAGGACCAACGACGGAGGACACCCACCCACAATCCGCATCCCCCTCTCTGGCCGGACAGCATATCAAGCAGCGAAGACAATATGCAACAATTCGCGATGGTTAATTTCGGGCACTCGCCAACTGTTGATTAGACCAATTAGGGGGCAACCAATTAGGTGGTCTGGTCCAGATTATAGGAGAAACTTAGCAGTAGAAAAAAAACGGGTTTAGTGACAGGCTTTTCATTTTTTGGATGCCACTGTGGATCGTTGGTTCTTCTCAGGGCCATCAGTAGAGTCTTGTTCCAAATGAATCTCGGATAGAAATCAGTGCGGAAACATGTTGATTTGATATCAGCAATGCAATTAGTAATCGCACACGCACACTCCAATCACTTTCACATCTGGAATGATTGGAAAAAGGTCAGGAGACGCAGAAGGAAGAAGAGCTCAGGAACACAAGTCACGAACGTGTCCCAATCCCCAGCTAGGGACGCCCCTTCATGCTTCCTCTATGCAAGGCAGGCAAGGCCATTGTGCCACACAGCCTCGGCGACAGACGGGGCAAAACAATGTAGAATTGATGTGGGACTCGTAGCGACCAACACTACACCACACACCACCATACCCGTCCCCAATCTCATCGAGAAGCAGGCACACCCGGGCCAGACACATATTTACAGACATTCGCAATCAGGTTTGTCATTTCACAGTCGTATTGTGTGCTGTTCAAGTGTTCATAATGAATTTAATCGCGTATGTTTATTGCTCACTTTGCCATGGCACTGCTGTGCTCCAGGTCCTGCCCAGCGTGCCCAGCCTGCTCCTCCATATTCCCCATTCACATTTCCTCCGGCCCAACAAGTTGTTGTTTTCTTAGCCATGGCGGAGTCGACACTTTATCATTTTGTCACGCTTCTTGTTTACCAAGTTGGCTCGTCAGCGTCCTCGTTCTTCTGCATATTGATTTAGTATTGTTGTTTCCCCTTATGTCCGTATGTGTGTATTTGGCCAAGTTCTGTCCCTGGTATATGTCCTGCTTGTGCTTCGTTTTTGCGCCCGCAGCCAGTAAATTGTTTGCATATATTAGACACATGCCTAAAATTGCATTTCAAGGGAAGTTCATTTGAGAATAATTGCAGTTAAACTTGACATCGTAGTTGTCTGATTGCGGGGCGGGCGGGCTCCTTCCTTTCAGCCAAATCCACAAGTCAATCCGGTAACCAGGCAAGATCCGGCACACAAGTTCTGTGAATGCTTGTTTAGTTTCTTAACATTTTACCAGGGCGTAATAAAAATATGTTTGATGTTTTAAATCTATTAATTTGTATTATTAAAATTATAAAATTATCATTGTTACTGATAATTTACAGCTTGAATTCTACATTTACTCACAAAATGGCTAACTCAAAAAGCTCAATTCTTAGTTGCCTAAAAAACTCAGCATTTTGTGCAGTAATTTGTTCATGACTAAGCGTATAATTGCTCGAATAAGGAATGTCATACCTCGTTGTAATCGTTATTAAATTTCTGTAAAAACTGTATTCGCAGCTAAAAATCGTAATTTGTAACCATTTTTAGCTAAATTTAATGATGTTTAATATCGAAAATGCGAAAGTTGGTTACTCCCAAATTGCTCCTCAAGACGACAGCATTTTGCCCATAACTAAGCCAATAATGGTCCAAAAATAGGTTGTAATACCTCGTTGAGCTTCTTTTTTAATTTCCAATATATTTGTGTTCCCACCTCGAAAAGTAATATTTTCGGCATTTTTCGAAAATTTTGATGATACTACCCCCTATCAAAAATTCGAAATTTGGTTAGTTCTGATTTTCCCCTAACATGGTCAGGATTATGTCCATAACTAAGCCAATATAGGTCGGAATATGGAATGTTTTACATCGATGAACTGGTAATTTAAATTCCAGTCGAACTGCATTCGCACTTTAAAATGTGAAATTTTTAAATTTTTTTGGAAAAACCCTGATGTTACCTCCTTACCCTTATCGAAAATGCGAAATTTGTTTTATCCCGATTTTCACCTAACAGTGATAGTATTTTTCCTATAACTCTGCCAATAATATTCCGAATGTGGAATGTAATACCTCGTTGAGTTCGTAATTTGATTGCCAACAAAACTGCATCCACACCTTGAAACGTGAAAATTTTGCCATATTTTGCAAATTTTGATGATGTCACCCCTTACAGAAAATGCGGAATTTTATTAGTCCCGATTTTCTCTTAGCAGTGTCAGGATTATGTCTATAACAAAGACAATATTGGTCCGACTATGGAATGTCATATCTCGATGAGCTCGTAATTTGATTTCCAACAAAACTGCTTACCCACCTTAAAACGTAAAAATGTTCCCATTTTTCGGAAATTTTGATGATGTTACCCTTACAAAAAATTGAAAATTTTGCAAAAAATTAAAATCCGCAAACTCACCAAACGAATGATGAGGAAAGTTTGTGTGGGTCTTTAGCTGCTCAAAACAGTCTTTACTTTAGCTCTGAGCCTTGTTTTGGCTGAGTTATAGGTATGAAACCGATAAAAATATTTCCATTTTCTGCCTAAAGCCGTAAGCCTTGTTGTTGTCCCAAAATAATCCCAATACTTTCCATAACAAAGCCAATAATGGTCGGAATATAGAATGTGATACATCGATGAACTCGTAATTAAAATTCTAGACAAACTGCATTCACAGTCTAAAATGCCAAATTTTTGCCGTTTTTAGCAAATTTTAATGCTGTTATAAATAATGTGTTCATAACTAAGCAGAAAATAGTCCAAATATAGAGTATTATATCTTCTTTTTTAATCCTTAACAGATCTGCATTTAAATCTAGAAAAGTACATTTTTGGCAAAAATCCATAACTTCGTATAATGAAGAACGGATGATTAAAAACGAGATAAGAACTTTCTTACTGGGGCCTAGTATTTATACTTAAATTTGAACCCTAAGTTCCTTTCCTAATTAAGTTAAGTCCCAAGTTCTGGTTAAACAATCTCATCCTATAACCTTTTTACATTAAAATTGTGGAGGCTGTTTTCCACTTCCACTTCGAATAAAATAGACAAGGCTCCCTGCTCTGAACGCTTCTGTTCCGCCAGGTCCGCGTTCCACACTCAGCAGGGTACTCACGCAGTTGGGCAAACAAGCGGATCCAATGGCAGGAAGGCGGTAGTTGGCAGGAGATCCGCCCCTTCCGTTGCTCCGATGCATTATGTGATACCTAGCCCAATGGCCCAATGCAACCAACTAGTTCTGGTCGTTCAACTCCGGCCAGGACCTGTGCCTGGGCCTCGCACATGCAAGGTGACCGGAATGCGAGTTCGAGCCGGACAAGCGGCTTAGCCGCGGCACAGCAGGACTCGCGCCTGCTGACAAATCGACGGCTAAGCTGCAACGTCAACACGTCGACCACAAGCACGGTCCGGCGAGGACCACAGAAGCCAGGAAGGAGCAGGGCACACGTTCATCCTATCCAGATCCAAGCCGAACCGAAATCACTATCAATTTGCGTTTGTAAATACATTTTAATGGCATTTCAAAGTGAGGCTGAGTTGATCCCCGAGCACCCTGGCTGGCTAACCCCATCCTGGCTAACCCGCCTCCCAAAGGCCTCGCCACGGGCAGCTCGTCCCACTCTACACGGAGTAATCAATTTGAACATTTAGGCGGAAAGCAGCCTCTGCTGATGTGTGGATGCCGAGGTAGGGGGAGGCGAGGGCGGTGGTTGTGATGGTGGGGGTTCTCCAAGTGGTAGGGGGATTCCGAATGACACCGGAAATTCAAACTACTTCCTGTTTGGCGGTGGCATTCGTTAGCCGTGTTTCATTTTCGCTGGGATTTGCTTTGGTCTGACGGATGATGGCTTGGCCTGCGATTTGATTTGTTTTCATTGTAACGAGCCTTTTATTAGCTCCACGGCCAGACCTCTTTCTCTCTCTCTCGCTCTCCTCTTTTCGCCTACATCCTCCTTGGTAGCATCCCGACCGATCCCTGCCCATTTCATCCCATCATCCCATGGCTGTTATATTGGCTCTATTGTTGTTTTTGCTGCTGTGTCGTTGTGGCCCTGTTCGTTAAATGCAAACACCAAAAGGGTTTTCAAAAACAACAATCAACCAGCAGTCCTCCTTCTCCTCCTACCCAGACCCTCAGACTCAGATTCAGATTCAGCCAGCAACCATCAGTCCACCCATCTGCCGCCGTCCAATCGCCCAGTCAAAAAAAACCCCCTCGACTCTTGGTTTGGCATGGGCTAGGATGTGGCAGGTTGGGCAGAACAGGAACGCCAGCGGCAGGCAACCCGTTTTCGATTCTGTTTGCCCAACACTGGCGGGCCACAGGGCAGGGCATTAAATTAGGTACGGAAGGCTGGAAAATAGAAGAGAAAATTGGATAGAGTTCATTTTTAGATAAAATAATATTTCAAATTGCAAAATGTTGATGAGTTTTTGTTAATTTAAGAAGTAAATATCCCCAAATCATTAGTATTTATCATATATTTTATATTTACTTAATATTTTTTAAAGTTAAATTCTAGATTTTTTAAAATTATTAACTAAAAGTTTAGGAATTTTCTTAAGAATTGCTAATCGATTGCCCCGCGCAGTATGCTTTTTTAATTGTCTGACATTTCGCGTGTGCCTGTGAGTGTGTGCGTGTGGGTGCTAGTGTCGGTGTAACTATATCGCTGTGTGAGTGCTACCGAGTGTGGGTGAGTGTGCGGGTGTGTGTGTGCTCGTTATTGTCAGTCTGTAGCAAAGCGATTTGCATACAAATTTGGCACGAAGTGTAAATATTTAAGCAGATACAAAGTGTGAGTATTAAATTTTTGATACTAATTAATTATGCATGTGTAAATTTTGCAATGAAAATTATTATAACGCCATATTTCGGCTACCCGCCCACAGATGGCGTGGCATGGCGTGTAACGAACAAACGAACTGCCGTTTTTCGGGCAAATCAAATCAAATGTTTGACAAACAAGACTCCGGTATTGGAATTGAAAGCTAGTATTAAAACCCGATTTTGTTTATCAATTTATCAATGCAGTTGCACGCTGAACGCGGGACCTTTTGATTTTATTTGGTTATTGGGCGTACAGTTGAGCTAATTATGTAATTGGATTACCAGCAAATCATCCAAATCCGGACAACCTGCTGCTGCTGCTGTTGCTGCTGCTCAATGGAGCAAATACATACATACTCCTTCCCCTTTTAGCCCAACTTCAACTTGAATCGAGGAAAAACTCAGGACACAACACTTTGAGGGCAATAATAACAAAACATTAAGTGCGAACAAAACGAGCAGACAAATAGACAAACATGCTGGGAAATCGAACAAAGCCAAGGATACAATGTAACTAACGCCTCGAATGGCGGGATTCAAGTTGATTGGGATTGGTATTGGAATTGGGATTTGGATTGGGTATTCAGTATTGGGTTTAGTATCGAGAATGCGAATGCGAATGCGAATGGATCGAGTGGCGAAGCTTAGGCAGGGCAGACAAAGCCAAAGCAGCAGTTCACCCAAAAAGGATATCAAACAAGAAATTCTATTAAAACTTTTTCACTTTCGCCTTGCACACCCCATATATACCGTAAGTGTTCAATTCAAAAGCCAAATATATATACCAATAAATAATTTACTACCCGTACAGGTCCCGATGTTCGCCGAACAGAGAGCTGCCTTTGTCCGCATACTTAAAGCGCATTAGCCGCTTCCGTCCAAGTTCAAGTTGAGAGTTGAGAAGGGGAAAACTTCCTGCCCAGAAAAGAAGATGATAGCCTTAGCCGCAGTAGTTGATAGAAGCAGTTGCTGATAGCCAAAAAGGATTCGATACCAACTTACCCATTACTTACTGCTGTATAGCTGGAAAGTCAAGTCCAAGTCCAAGTCCAAGTCCAAGGAAACCCAACATTACCCTCCTCCAACTAGCCAAGAATCTGTCTGCGAAAGTGTAATCTATGGCCCAGACCACTGCAGACTATTTGTATTAATTTGTTGTTGGCGACTGTGTTTGGTGGCCCTACACTCTGTCCCTACACTCTGCTACAAAACAACAACACTATCGAAAACGAACGGAGAGCAGCCTCGAAAAATGCGACCCAGGCCGCGTTTCCACGTCTAATAGAAAAGTTCATGAAGAGAAGAAGAGCTGGGAAAGAGAGGTTTCTCCCGCTAGCCGTTGCAGCTACCTGATGGCTGCAGAATGCGTGTGGAGAAAACCCGTGGCCAGCTTAATTGTTTT